ATCTCAGCACCTCTATTGCCATTGCCTGCATGTGAGGCATTCAGGTAACATCTGTAAGTTGTACCATCTACGCATAGTTTGCATGTGGTGTTTAGGGGACATCTTTAAATTATAGCATCTGTGAATAGTCTACGTGTGTGGTGGGGTTCAGGGGTTGTTCGATGGGCTCCGATGGGCTTCTTTGCCTGGGGGTCCCCCAGGGTCTAGGATCACCACTGCATTAAGTCCTTGGAAGTGGCGAATAACCTCATTAAGTTCACTCTCAGAAATCTATAAGTAAGCTGGGTCAATAGTTGGTTAGCTCGTACTGTTAGGGTTTGCCAGAAAAAGGACCCAAATGCAGATGGACACAAACTAAAGCTTGTGGCGCAATGAGAGTAAGATGACTTAGAGGCAGAAGTGCAAAAACTGACGAACTGAAAAAAAAAAAATCCAAATGAAAAACAAACTCGGGAACAAAAAACATGAGCGCAAGGAAAAATCAAGACATGAACAGACAAACTATACTAAATACACACAAGGGGAGCAGGTAACAAGACACAGGTGTAATACATTAAGACACAGCAGGTGTGTTTCCTGCCTTCGGAGGAAGCAAAACAACCAGAGGCAACAAATCCAGCAGGGACTAAAGGCAACAATTTAACACATGCAGGTCAATCAATCAGGCCTTACCGAGGCCGCACATTTTTTTTGGCCACTTGAGGGCAGTGGCTGTAAACACAACAGTGGCTTGTTACCTTTTCCAAACATGTTTTATAAGCAGCAAACAGCTACTTATTTACGCAGATAAAGAACAAAAATAGCATTCATTTTAAGTTGTGTTTGTCCAAATATTCACTGGTCTTTTAGTTTTGGTTTGGTCTAGACTAACTCCTGAGAAAAATATAGTTGCTAATGTTCTACTATAAAGTTCTACTATTTTTTACTGTAAAGTAAAAAGTTAAAGTAAATACAAATAGTCATATAATTTACTGTTAATATGAAAATATTGATTATAGCAGTTTTAATTCTGGTAGCTTAGCATAGTCAATGACAGTCCTGCTTAAATATCGAGTGGCAGAGTGGAGAAGAGACAAACTGCTACAGGATGGGTGATGATACACACAGAGGAAGGTGGGGTAACAGGCAATGTGGGATTAAAGAAGATATAGGCAGGGAAACTGTCAATCACTTTTAAAGGGTTCATAAGACTATAGTTATATGAATCTATATTTCAGATACTACCAGAAAAGGAAATTCCCTCTAATTTCCCTACGTGCATTCAACTAGATGCTAATCCCTTCCACATTCAAAACCTGAGCATCATATCTGAGGGAATTTAGCTTTAGAGCCTCTGATGAGTATTGACCACAACAAACTGTGCAAATATGAAATACTTTACAGTCTACCCTGTCTTCAATTGGCACTTCCCGCCCACCAAGCACTCATGCAGGTTTGCTGAAATTAGTTATGACATGTGTGAGGGAGGCAGAGGAGACGAGGGATTTGGGAGGTCAGGCTGAGTTGAAGACATCATCGTTGCCTACCAGAAAGGGAGGCTGCATAGGCATTCATGAATATATTTTCCCTTTTAAAGGGCTTGTCTTTTCTGATCTGAGCATCAAAACGTTCAAACCAAAGTACGGTGAGGTGAGCAAGAGGGTACGTTTGGCATGCAGATTATACAGTACTCCTAGATGAATAAATAAGGTAAATTTAAAGATTTTACATCCATAAACACTTTGACGATGACAGAACCCGTTCTGTGTGGTCATGGAGGCGACAGCAGTCAGCTCTCTGGGACAAATAAATTAGCATGAGGCAGGCAGAGAAAGAAGGTGTAAGGGCTAAGTGTCTTTTTGGACCCAGACGCAGACACTGAACTCAGAGAGTTTTGGTAAGTGATTTAATAAGGTAAATTGCAGAAGAGGCTTGAAGGGTTTGAGGGGGCAGAGGGAGGCAGGCTGTCAGAGCCGGTGATCGGCTGAGGGCTGAAGGCTGTTGGCATGGTTTGGCAGGTGTGTGGGTTAGCAGCGGCTTGACTGGATGGGTTGTTTGGCACTGGAGTCCTGAGGCACAAGAGAATCTTGGTTAGTAAAGACCACAAGAAATAGCACAAGGAATAACATTATGCGTGGCTGAGAGAACAGTCCGGTAATGGATGGAAGGAGAGTCGGAGTACCTGAACTGTGAGTGATGAGTTGATTGTAGACAGGTGTGAAGAGACACCAGGAGCTAGGAGACGTAAACCACAGCCACGACACACACACACACACACACACACACACAGGGAGACACAAGGTAAACAGGGCGAACACAGAGAAACACAAGGGAAGGGAATAAAACTAACTCAGGGACAGAGGCGTGACAGAAGGGGTGTGTCCTGTTTTCCTGGGAAACTCTCACCCACATCAGAGCTCTTTCTCATATGCATACCCACTCATCAGGCTTTGTGAAAGCACTCCTGGGAACTACACGCCATATAAATATAGTGTAGTCAGTGCACAAGTTCCATCTCTGGAAGATATACTAAATGATGTGCTGGGAGAAAAGATACTGTTTACACCTCTGATGAGCTACAGGGACTCAGTGGGAGAGCCACAGCTTTCTTTCAACAGGAGAAAATTGTTTATTCAAATAATACCGTACATCTTTGGTAAACCAAATCAAAGTCTGGGCAGACAATAGAAGATTTCTGTTAAGTTTTGGGAGCTGGTGTTTCAGTGCTGTGGTGCAGGACGTGCAGGGAGAGCAAAATTCACACCAGCAATCCTTCAGATGCCTCAGAAGTCTTTGTTTCCATTCTGACTCTGACTTTTAGCACATTAGTGTACGCTATAAAGTCTCACTTTATCTGTTCAGCCTATTTATGAAGCAGCTTAGCAATGTTTTCTGACTGTTTTCCTTTTTGAGCCTCAATTCCAAAAGATTCTCACATGTACGAATGTTTGTGTATAAAGTCGAATCCAAGTTTTTCCAGGTCTCATTCATTAGAAAGTGAAAATTTCCTGCACACTATCAGCATACTGTGTACTAAGACTGCAGTGTTTTGTCCATACACCATCAAAAGTCATCATATTCACAATGTGAAACAAACACTTCTATGCTTGAACCACAGGCTGCAACAACCAATCACAAAGGACTATTTTCACAGACACCTTCAATGATCACATTAAACACGTCCCTGAAATGATGATCTCAAGATCTACAGAAAATAACAAACAGTTCAAAATAGCAAACACTGGATGTCGATGTAAAGTAAGTGATTTTTATTAATTAATAAAGGTTGAAAGGTGGTGATAACAACCTGACAACAACCAGTTCAAGTCTCTTACTTGAATGGACTTAAAACTGTATAACACATTACATGAAAGCAGATATTGTTAAATGTTTGTTTTTTTTCATACAAGGGAAAGAAACCCTGACGTTCAGCTTGGTCTGTTCATCGGTGGGTTCTGTAAAGTTTGCAGGTCTCAACTGATTCCAGGTCCTTGTGATAAATATGCTAAAAATTTTCACAAAATCATAATTTCTATTGTTTCTTATTAGATAGTTAGTTAGTTAATCCACAATCTTTCCATGTACAGTACCACCCAGCAACTGCAAGTAGCTGTTTGGGAATCACTAGTGTAATTGTCTCATGTGCTTTGGCACTCGTATAAAGATGTTGTTTGCCGACTGAAGCATTTCCCACGCAGCTATCTACCTTTTGCACATGGGGCAGCATTTAACCATATTTTATTTTTTTCCTGTGCTGAAAATTTTCCCAAACCTATGCATGGATGTTTGATATCATTTATAAATATATACTGTATATATATATATATATAATTTCCACTTTTATCACAGTTTGAATGGCTCATTCTTCATCAGACAGCGTGAACAACAGCGTACCAAGGAGGCTAACTTAAAATGACTGCGTTTAAAAAAAGCTCATTAGTCATATGTTTTGAGTCACACTAGTGACAGCGTCAGCGTAATAAACAAACAACAGTGGCACAGCAGTAAACTCTTTATTTGATCTTTTCCAATGTGCTCAAAGCAGAGAAGTAAACACTTGTTCTTTTAGAAAAGGACAGAGGTTGGTGTAACATGAAAATCTTTCAGAGCCTTGTTCATTATACAAACAATATATTTTTATCATACTCATACATGTGTGATTATGAGGTACCACACAATAATACTGTACTGTCTTCAGTTATTTACACAAGGAAAAAAAAGCATTACCCCTTCTGGCTATAACTGCTTGAAATGTGAAGATGATAATTGACTGTATAAGTCAATTTTATGTCTTTATGGATAGAATACTAACGTGTACGTTGTTATGTGTGTGCGAGCAGCAGACATTAAAACAGCAGTAAGGTGTTTGGTTTTCACTGTGGCCAAGTGCTCTCTGTGGCTGTAAGGGAGAGAAAAGATATGTGACGGAAAATAGGATGGAGAAGAAGAGAAAGACACTTGACCAGAGAGAATCAGGCTTGTACACACAGTCACACACACAATCACTGACTGGCAGTTGGGATAAAATGCGGTAAACTCTCCGCCTCGCTTTATCACAACACAGTTCCTCATGTTATTCACTTTGTCCTCCCGTTCTCTTTCACACACACACACACATGCACACACACACACACACGTACACACACACACGCGCACACACACACACACACACAGTTAAAGCCTCAGTGGGTGCCAATCTGTCTCAGCAGTGCTCCTCTATTCCATCTATTTTCTCAGAGGGGAGAGGAAGGTGCAAGCACATGCCTGGGAGAGGAAATTGCCCGAGACGCCACTCTACTGTACATGCCATCGTATCCAGACCAAGTCCAAGTTTTACAAAAAAAACGCCCGTCCTGAAGGAAAGTTTCCACTGCAGCTTCCAGTTTAGACACAAAACACTGAGGCAGAAATATAACTTTGTAGTTTTGGAGAATGAGTCTTTTTTTTTTTTTTTTTTTCTTGTTTTTTTTTTTTTTTTTGAAACAGTTTTGCTACTGAAACAGTAAGCAAAGAGCCCCTTCGTCCCATTGGTCCTCGTGTTGAGAGTGTGACGTAATAGAAAGGTAAAGAGACAGAGAGAGAAAGAAGATACCACTATCTAACGTCACAAACAACGGTTGTGTGGAGATTGTCAAGGCCTTCGCATTATATTCAGTGAATGAGGTCACATTATAAATTAAGTGTCTCTGTAAACCCTTCGCCTCCTGTGCAGGTGCAGCCACTGTGGTGTGCATGCATCACAGTAACTGTTATGAGTTTATTGTATTTAAATGACGGGAGAAGAAGTCAATTAGGAGGGGGAATTGAGCCGAAGCCCACATCAGAGTCCAAAAGTAGCCTGGATGGCGTTTCCTGTGATTATTATCAGAGTGCTTACTTGTACTTTAAACCCTTCTTCCTGTACCTTAGGTCAATCCTTTGATCCAGTAAGCATTCCTTCATTTCAAGTGCAATCCCTGAAAGTAAAGGTGTGAAAACACCCCAGGCCAGCACTTTATCCTACAGCTCAGAACAGTTCAAATTTATGTCTGCAGCGTAAAATGTCTATTAAATACTCAGCCATGCAGGACCCCCAACTCAGAACGAGCGTTTCCATGACTTACAGAGGATCTTCTGGAAGGCTCTGCGGAAGTCCTGGTTAAAGATGGTGTAGATGACGGGGTTTAGGGAGCTGTTACAGTAGCCAATCCAAAAAAAGAATTTGAACAGCGTCTCAGGAATCTGGCACGGGTCCCGGCAGATCCCATACAGGCTGTAGGAGAAGAAGAAGGGGAACCAGCACACCACGAACACGCCCATGACGACGGCGAGGACGAAGGTGAAGCGTTTCTCCCGAGCAGCAGAGACTTTCTTCCGGTTGACGGTGCTCCGGCGTTTGCGACGAGATGAGAACAGCTCCATAGATTTGGAACTGGCACGCGACTTCCTGCTGGAGAATTTAGAGGCAGAGCTGCTCTTCCGGCTGGACTTCCTGTCTTTCCTGTTGTCGTGGTGATGTCTGGATGAACTGGAACTTTTTTTAGGTTTTTCATCTGACGAGCTGCTATCCTCAAAGTCGTCGTCGTGGTCTGTCAGTGCGTGTTTCGGCTCGTTGGGTAGAGGGGACTGAGCTGCCTGCGTCTGGCAGTGCCCATTCTCACGGTCCTGGTCTTTCATGCTCCCGCCCCTGTTGGACTTTAATGACCCGCCTCTGCCTGCTTCAGCTTGATCCATCCCATTCTCCAGTGGGGAGTCCACATCCCTCTTCTTCTCTGACATTGTTCTGGTCCTGGTCTTTGCCACCTGGTAGATCCGAATATATACTAGGATCATGATGACACAGGGGGCAAAGAATGATCCAATGCTGGAGTACAGGATATACCAGGTCTCATCATTCAGGATACACTGGGGACTGGCCTCATTGCTGCTCCTGTCCATTGATATAAGAGGTGGGAAGGAGATAACGGCTGAGATCAACCACACAACCACAATCATCCCTTTAACTCGTTTAGGTGTTCTCTTTAAGTTATACTCTACAGCCTGTGTCACCGACCAGTACCTGTCCAGACTAATAGCGCACAGGTGAACAATAGAAGAGGTGCAGAATAAAACGTCCAGGGCCAGGTAGATGTCACACCAAATTTTGCCAAAAAACCAGTAGCCCATGAGTTCATTAGCCAGGGAAAAGGGCATGACTAGGGTGGCCACCAGTATGTCCGCACTGGCCAGAGAGACGAGAAAAAGGTTCTGGGGTGGTTTCAAAGCTCTGCTCGTTAAAACGGCGATAACAACCAAGACGTTCCCGACTATTGTAAACAAAATCAGAAAGCTGACCAGTCCAGCCAGACCCCAGATAGCGAGCTGGGTGTACTGGCTCTGAGAAGTGGAATTAGAAGAGATATTGTCTGCCTGTATCCCGTCCTCCACGTTGGACATATTAATAAAATCCATTTTGAGTTTTTTTTTTTTTTTTTTGTCCAGGTATGACTTTTAAAAAATTATAATATGCGGAAATAATATGTAATAACATCCCATCAGGACTTCAGCGCATATTTCACACAAATCTAATGGCATTTTATGTCTGTCTTCACCTGCGATATTCCACATCCTGCATGCAAGTCTCTCCTTAGGAAAAAAAAAGAAGAGAGAAACAGACCAAGAGAGAAGGAGAGATAGAGGTCGCAATATGCAAAGTCTTTTAAGTCCTTATTCCAGAAACGTGCAGGCTGCTCAGCGGCAGAATTTCCATGGTTATAGAGCGGGCTCCCTCCTCATCGCGTCCTCTCCCATCCCGACTGCGCCCGCATCTCTCCACCTCCGCCTCCCCGTTGTGTCCTGAGAGAGGTTTGTAACAACCACGTGTCTTTTTTTTTTTTTTTTTTTTTTTTTTTTCTACACCAGAAAAAAAAAAAAAAAAAACTAGCAAGTGCACCCTCCGCCCTGGAGAAGAGATGGAAGCGATTAGTAGAGGAGCAGCGACGGAGCTGGTGAAATAAGCAAAACATATTTTCACTAGTGGAACTTTATTTGAGACTATTAATAAGAGTGTCTCCAGTGTGAGCTGCCGCTGAGGGAGAGCTTGTTTAACGTGTGTCCAGTTTATCTGCACTGTCAGAGCAAATTGGCTGACAGTCAAAAACCGGACAGCTGATCAGCGTATCTCTGTCTGTTTGACTCTTGAAGGTCTGTTTCAGTATTGAGAGCTGCTCCTGTGTATTTTAATAGACAGTGAGCAGGAGCTGCTTGATGGAGGTCACATTGCTGTCAAAACGCACAGACTGACAACAGCGGAGTCCCGCACCAAGGAGAGCTCTGCCCTTCTGTGCGCACACTGGAGGTCAGTATTGTAACAGCCAGCCCCGGAGGGACAAAAAGGCGAACACACGCACACACCATAAACATGAGCAGCATTAGCTATATGCAGTATCATATCTACACCGCCATCGGGTAAATAGATGTTGTATGTAGGTCTATTGATTAACTGAAGCCCTATGGGATAAACATGGAAAGAGCTTGTATGACCTTACATTGGAAACTTCTATCATTTCCCGGCATTCTCCTGCCATCAATAGTTTGTGTGTTTGTGTTGTGGTAATTGTGTTGATAAGAAGATTACAGGATTACATGGTGCAGTTGTCATGTTGTGATGGAGCTGAGAAGCACTCCGCTTTTGGGGATTTCAAAGGCGCTAAATCATCTGCATGGAAAGCAGTGTGAACGTAGACAGAGTAGAGGGTTAGCAGTAATGGGTTCATCCCCCTGGATGGGCTTTATCACAGGGAATAAAGCACTGAATCTACCATAACACTGACTTCCAGGTTATCTTGTCTGGAGTTATTTATTCATGTGTTTTCATTTCCCATGAGGACACACTACATGCACACCTGCCACAGAAATGATCAGAGCACCCTCTAACTGTTTCTCTCTTCTTCTGTCTCCTTCTTCAACCTTTACCCTCTGCTCTCTATGTGCCTTTCTCTCTCTAGCACACATTCTTTAAGGCTATCGGATGGATGGTTGCAGCAGCAGTAGCCCACTGCAAAGGTTGTTCAAAATTAAATCCAAGATCACGTCAATGAAGTCAATCCACAAAAAAAAAAAGCCTGTGCGAAACATTGTGGTTTTTTGTTTTTTTTTTTTGCCTTTTTTCTCTCTGCACTGTTAACCCCATCCAATCTGGGTGGTGCTGCCACCTGGAGAAAGCCTGTCTCCCCTTAAGCGTACAGCCTGGTATTAAGTTCCTGGACCAGTGCGTTTATTGACCATGTCTCCCAGCTAAGTACCTGCCATTAATCACTGAGCGCTCAGCCACACTGAATTAAAGAACAGCCACAAAATGCTCAAGTCCAAATTGATCCTCATCAAGGCTACGAGGTGGAATGACGAGGGCTCAGGGGGTTGTGGTCCATCTGCCTGCATGGGAAACGCAGTCAGGATGGTGAACTTTCTCTAAATTGTCCCCCCGCCGATCCCCAAAACACCCAGCTCCCTCTCATGCTGCCTGTTTAAATTGAACTAAGGCTAGAGTGATGCTGTGAGTCTGTGTGGATGCACTCTAAGCTGATTTTGAACAGACAGACAAGGCTTATTATGGTCATTAAGTCGTGTCCCAGGGCCACAGCTCTGTCCATATAATTGGGGCACCAGTGAGCGATCTCCACTATTACCAAGCTCTTTTTTAGTTTCCAACATTGTTCTCTGCTCTGAGGGAAGAAGTTGACTCTTCCCAGCAGTAGCCTGGCTGGTGGTGTTGATTACTTTTATCTCCTTAAATCAAACCTCTGTGCTTTTTCACCCTTTTCAAAGTAGTGACATGCTAAGTTGTTCTCCTTTTTGTGCTGTTTTTCATTCTTTGTTATTCTCACTATATTTGTACAAAGTACGGCCCTTGTTCGCTCCTTGTATCAGGGTGGTTACTGGTTTGCAAACCTCTTCACTTTTTTTGAAGGACCACACTGCAGCATTTGTGGGCCTGAGAATGGAGGAGGTACCCAGAGCTTCCTATTAACAGGGAAGAAGAGAAGCAATATGAGCCTAATAAGATTCACCCAAGAGAGCTTGAAAAACTTAATAACACCTGATGTGTTCTCACAAGGTAACATGACCAGCCTATTGTGGCCCACTGAAATCCAATACAGTGACCACTCCAGTTATTGTACTTCATCACACAATCAGCCCCTCATAATAGCCACAGACGTCAACCTCCCACTTATGAACTTGTGTCATCTATCTTTTCGCTATTGCGCATGAATGTACCACAACGAATACATGAAGTCAGCCACATGCTAACAAAGGCTAATTCCCTAAAGAAATCAAAGCTGCTACTAGTGACGAGTGCAATTTTCCCACCCTCCCTAATGTGCAGTAGTTTCTATAGCGGCCTCCTGCATAAAGGAACGTATAGCACCAGCTGTTGACAGTGACAAATGACAGTGCTACCTGGGCAGGCAACTACAGAGCCTAGAACAAATAGTTCAGGGAAGCAACATCCAGCCCAGGGGAGTTTCTCTCTTGGCAGCATCACCTCACAGAATAGGGTCTGCTTCTTATCTAGTACCTTGCCTTTCTGTGGAAATTACCTTGCAGGAAAATCAGTAAAACAAGATCATTGGAATAGGTGATTTGGATTTTTTAGACTGCTTTGAAATTGATGTTTTGTTTTTTTTTGTAACCTTAAAGGTACAATATGTAACATATTTACTATACTAAAATAATATCTCCGATCTTTCTGAAAACAATGCTTCAACCAATATGTTTGCCATTTGAAATTTCCATCACAAAGCGGAATGTCTATTTGTGTTTTAGCCTGTGGGATCCCGCCCACTGCCCATTTCAGCTGATTATTGGCAGGCAAACAAAGCGTGCTGCAGTTATGGAAGCAAGTAAACAAACTAAACGGCTCAATGACCAGACAAGTAGTAAAGGTTAATATTGGGGATGCTAAGTTGGCTAATTTTCTCCTGAACAGGTTAGCATTGAGTTTCAGGTAAGGTTAGCTAATCTTATCTAATTTACCACAGCTACTGGTGGGGATGGGCATTTTTTTCAACAATCGAATAACTCGCATCCATAGTGTCTGGTCCGTGAGCAGCTGGATTGTCAAGGGAGCGAGTATTTGAAATACACAGCCGGTGAAGTGATCCCAACTAGTGCTGGCTAACGGCCTCATGCTAACATGCTGGTTAACTGCAGTCAGGCCACCACTGTTTACTTCCTCTGCAATAACCAGCGTGACTGAAATATACAACACCAATTTTAAAAGAATTTGTTCAATTTTGTGACTGAATCATGAATGTGTTCAAATTTCATTAAGTAATTCCACTGTATGTAAGTTAGCTCGCAGTTTGTATTATTAGGTCTATCTCAAGCTGTTTTTCATTGTTGTTCGACTGGTGTTTGAATTTGTCCAGTGCAAGAAGCATCTTTTGATGGCCCCTTCACTGTCCAGTATAGGTTGTCCATCAGTCAGTATTCAGGACCTGAATGAATTTATTTTCAGTCCACACTGTGAAATGTACATCTTAATATGAATGAATACAGAAGAATGTAGCTGAAACTAGTTGATATAATGCAACTTGGTTACATTTTGTATTACTTGTGGCCTACATTTGCACATTTTGATGTCTGTAAATAGTAAAACAAGATTTGTCTCTGAGCTGAGAAGAGCTGCCGCATATATAAGAAGGCATTGAAGTTTTGGAGAGCACCATGGCTGCTTCTACAGCACTAGAGAACAGGTTAATATGGTCTGTCACTAAACATCAAATAGTAGCTGCAATCCACCCTTATGCTGACCTTTTCCTTTAGTCTTCAGAATATGCGTCTCCAAGACAAAAAAAAAGACTGATCATGGATGAACATGAGATTAATGACCTCAGGAATGTTGTGTAGTTGTATTTATTAATCTCATGTTTGAAAGTATTGATTGGGGAACAGATGATGAGGAAGAAGCGGAAACTGAAGGTGATGACAGCCCAGATGAGGAATATGTTTCTCGTCCTTGTATACGGTATGCTATAATTAGATTCTTATAGCCACTACTTCATGTTGTTCCATTGCGTCTGCTCTTACCAAACCAACCATTAGTGCCACCAACTGTGTACATAATGCAACATGAACCTTGCATAGTTTTATTATGCAGAATAGGAAGACTCAAAAATCACAATAGCCATTTTTTCCTGTCAAATCCATTACCAAAATGACGCTCCATTACCTCATTTGCAACAGGAGAAAAGGTCAGCGAAATCAGTTTGAGTGTGGGATGTGTCGTGGCTCAACCAGCATGGTAACTTTTAAGTGTGAGAATTTATTTATACATTTCATGGCTTCATGGCTGCAAGCACCACCTTGCATTGACAGTTGGCCAATAATCGGAGTGAATGAGACAGTTCATGACATCCCTGACATAGAGCTTCCATCAATTGACCTGCCTCCATCCACTCAATCGACCA